TCCAAAAGGAAAAAAAAAATTTTTATTTTATTTAAGGGTTTTTAAAAAAAAAAAAAAAAAAAAAAAAGTCTGAAACCTAAGAGGATTAGGGCCACTGAAAAAACAAACAAAAACAATTCTGACTTTTTTTCTCAGAATTCTAAGATTAAAGTCAGAATTTTTTTTCCCCCCAGTGGCCCTAATCCTCTTCCATAGAAACCTCCCCAGAACTCTTTTTTTTATTTTGTTGTTTTTAGCTCTTGTGGCCTTTATTCAAAAGTAAATGGTAGGTGGTGCTGCACTTAGTGCTGTGAAATAAGAATAAGACAAGGAGCAAATGGCTTGAACCCACATGTTAAAGACAAAAGCCTCTGTACATGTATACTCCACTAACTGAGCCCCTTTTAGTCAAATGTGTACCGTATTTTCCGGACTATAAGCCGCTACTTTTTTCCTACGCTTTGAACCAGGCGGCTTATGAGCCGGTGCGGCTTTTCTGTGGATTTTTCCTCAACCACCAGGGGGCTCTTTAGCAGGAAGTGAATCATTGGAAGTCAAAATTGGAAATCAAAGAAGAAAGCGCTAATTTTCAGTTTTAGAACAACTACATGCTAGCAGCAGGCACGACGGAGAAATTTCTTCAAACACATAAGGTGCAGCTTTTAAGTTGAATGTTATCAATCTGGCAGAACAGGAGGGAAATGGAGCCGCTGCGACCACGTCTCCAAAGCCGAACTACGGTTCGCAAATTAATAGCAAATTTATAAAGGAGGCAGCCGTCTGCGGAGATACCAGCGGCTTATGGCCCGGTGCGGCTTATATGTATGTTTCCAGTTTCTTTTCTTTTCTTTTTTTTTTTTTTACTTTTTGGGTGCGGCTTGTAGTGAAGTGCGCTCTGTAGTCCGGAAAATACGGTATAACCATAATTGCAGATATGATTGATATATTAACCATTATTGGTCTTTAACTCATTGCATAGTGTTAAGGTTGGCTTTCGGCCAAGAAGGTGAAAAATCTAGGAGCTTGTTGTTAGCCTGTTTTACGGTTTTCAAACATTTCAGTGACTTCTTCTTCTTGCCAGTGAGCAGAGTAGTTGTATTGCTATGATTACTATTAGGAGGACTTTCTTATAATATTCCAGGTCAGCAGTTATTTTAAAGTTGTGAGCCTTGCTGTGTAAGGTTACAATGACTGATATTTGCATTCCAAATAATTACTTTAACCTTGGGTAAAGCATATTAAGCTAGCTGGTACTTTGATGAAGCTGTTAAAGCTTTGTAGAGGCTTCAGCCCTTATTAAAAGACACAAAACTCAGCAGCACAAAGGTATTTAACTGCTATTATGTTGGACTCATAATTTTTATATGCATTTAACACTGTAAACTTCTTTAGTCTTTGTAGTCGAGACAGTGAATTGCCTCTAATATCTGAGATAATTGTTTAAGATGGGAAGTGACAGCAAAAAGAAAGACTTGGTCAAAGATTTAGATAACTTTTCCTTCCAAACGTTTGCTGACTGGCTAACAAAGTTCATTTCATTAATAAAAATCTTGTTTAGTCTGCAGAGAAGTCGTGAAGGTGCACTGCATGTAACTGCAAGCATTTTTAGCGCTGAGATTTTAAGAGGCTAAGAGCATGATGATAAATACTGAATGAGTGTGTCAGTTCATCTGTATGTGCACTCGCTGTCTCAACGCTGCACTGATTGCTTTGTCTTTTACGAACTCCACATGGGACATGTGAGGAATTACTTGCGTGTGACTTGAAGGGAAATGTATGTTGCAGCCTTGTTGTTCCAGACTGAAAAGAAAACTTCTGCCTTCCAACAGGAGAAAACCAAGGCACTCTTTGTTTTTTAGATGCTCCTCTGTTTTCCTGCAGGACAAACTACCTAGCCGTTCCCTCTGAGCAGAAAGACAATCCAGTCGCTCCGGTTACCGAATAAAAGCGCTTTTCAGTGACACGGTATTTCACATGTGATTTCCTCAGCCTGAACCCGATCAGTAAAATCATCCCCTTCCTTCTTGTATCCATTGTTTGTAGCTTCAACACTCATAACTCTGCAGCTCTGTAGACTCCCGTTGCTTCAACCATCACTGTGTTTCATCCTTCACACACATTTTTGAAAGGCACTCATTTCTGTCCTTTTTGGACTCATCTATTTTTCAGCCACTCTTTTTGATTCTTATTTAGATATCTAATATCTAATGTATATAAGTAGACATGATGCATGACTTTGTTTTTTAGTACTTTGTGATTATAATGTGTGAACACTGTAAAAATAGCAAACTAGTGAGTGTGATGTTTGCATGCTAAGTAGTGCTCCATACTGTTTTCAGGCGAATTAGATGCATTCAGTAGTGCAGAACCTTGCAAAACCTTGGAGATACAGCGCCTTGAAAAGTTAATTATACGCCTTGAACTTTATCATATTTTGTATCACAAACTTTATTGTATTAATGGGGTTTATAAGTGGGAGATCAATCTGTAATTATAAAGTGAAATACAAATAGACATGGTTATGAAAAGCAAAAGGACAAAAAAAAAAACTGGCAAAATTGATATTCATAGCTGCTTTCAGTCAATTGTAAGATATTTAAGAATGGAGAAAAAAAATGACTCCAGCTTTGCAATGGGGTTGTAACATAGTTATTTTTAACTTTGAAAACTTTTATTTTTATTATTTCAAAAAAGTTCAAGATATCACTTTTGCAAGGCACTATATGTCCCATTTATTTATATTTTGCTTCCAGTAAGTCATTTATTTGTTTTGGTCAGCTTGTAAATTATGCTTCCTGGAGGCCTTTTCAAAGTATTTCTTTTGATTTTCTTTATTTATGTTTAGTCTCACTGGTTCTGTGAAAACCAAGTGAGAAGGCTAATGCTTCTCACTGGTCGTGTTGATCCTTGCTGGATTTTCCTGTTTCGTAAAGACTTGACTATGATCTGCTGTTGGTAGTTTCTCAGACCTCACACCTCTCCTTTTGTTTTACACATTTGCAATTTCCCCCAGTTTCTACTAAAGGTCTGAACAATTTGTTGCCATCAGTTGGTACGAAGACTTTTAAGCGTTACTGAACATCTGGCTCAGTGGAAGCAAAGAATCGGGAAGCGATAGATGATTTGAAACAACACATGCTATCGTCTGTAATGAACCATTTCAGGTTTACTGAGGGAACCATGTTCTCTGTTCTCTTCAGATATTAACCACTCAGGATGATGGTACAGACAGCACAGTCCCATCGGTGCCACCATGAAGATGTTTCTCTCAGACGGCGACATGAATCCTGCCAGCCAACCTTCCCTGTGTATCCACTGTGTCTTATAACAGAAAAGTGCTATGTATATATTTTTTTTCCCCCCTTTCCCTCTTCTTTATGAAAGCTCTGACATCAAGTGCTTTTACTCATGCAGTAGTTCAAAGGGTAAAACTGTCATGCACCTATTATCCAATCAATATAGCCATACTGTAGACTATAAGGACCTGCTGATGTGTTGATGTACCACCCATTTCCAAACAGCTAGCGTTGTGAGTTTTGTACCTCGACATTTAATGCTTGACCCAAGGAGAGAGTCTGCTGTTTTAAAGGCTCTTAAACGTACTCTGCCATGTTTATTTTTCTAACCTTTTTTATAGACCTTGTTGTGATTTTTCAGGTCACAGAGTTCTTTGTACTGGCCAGAAGTCTTTCTATGACGGTCGAAATGAAAAGCTTTTACACTCGTACGTGTCTGCGTACTCTCTGCTTTCCGTTAAACGCTTATAAACATGATATTCTGCAAGAAAAAGACTGTCTATTCAGCTGAATTTTATTTGAAGGTTTTTACTCGCCGCTGTATAAATCTTTAATCCGCATTCGGCTCTGATGTCAGCGTACACTCAGTAGGTCAAGTGGTACTGCACTTAGTGCTTTTAAATGTATTCTTGAAGCTTTGACTGTTCCTGAGTGTTGCTGTCGAGACCCGGTGTGTGCCTCCTTCAACGATACGAAACTGTAGAAACATCTCTGACTTGATTCCATCATGTCCGGCCATTTTCGTTCTGTTGCAAATACAATAATTCATCTGTGAATTTTACATTTTTAACTTAATAAATACACATTCCACAGTGTGATTTGGCACTTCTCTGTTATTTCCAGAAAATTCCCTCAAATCTTTATATACATAATAATGGCAAGAATTATTTTTATGAATAAATTGCACATTAGCTACACACTTACAGAAGAGACTGCTTCTTATGAAGCCTCTGCTGAACTAAAGTCAGTGTTGGAGCTGTTCCTCCTGAAGTGAACGGAAGAAGTGCTCGATTGTGGCTCAGTGGTCTCGAAACCATTTTGCAGATCAAAGTACGTTTAGCATTTTTTTTTTTGGGGGGGAAATCAAGGTCCCAGACTCTGAAGGAAAAGTGGAGAGGCGGCACAAAATCTGAGCTGCTTGAGGTTCAGTGTGAAGTTTCCACAGTCGGTGAGGATTTAAGGTGTCATGTTATCTGTCGGCGCTGGTCCACTGCTGCTTTATCCAAAGTCCAAAGTCAAAGCAGAAAATTTTATAGCACTTCATGTTTCCCCTCTGCTGAGAAGCTTTGTGGCGATTTTTTTCCGAGCAGGATTTTATGCCATCTCATACTGTTAAAATCTACTTTAACGACTGCGTTATCACTCTGTTTAATTGGCCGTCTAACTCGCCCGACCCCACAGCATCTATGGGACGTTGTCAAGAGAAAGATGAGAGACGCAGCAGCGTCCAAACAGCTGAAGGTGAATATGAAATCAACATTGGCTTTCTTCCAGGCAGTTCACCTCCATGCCACGCTGGGCTGATGCAGTAGTCTCTGCAGACAGAGTGTACATACTCTATTGTTTTTTAGAAAATGTCTGTATAAAAAAATACTTTATTATGCCGCTCTTTCATATTATTTTAATTGTGAGGAACTGAGGTTTGGGATTTCGTTATCTCTAATCAATAAATATCAAAATGAGCAAAAAGTCTTGACGTATACGTATCACTCCGAGTAATAAATCCAGCTTTTTGAATTGAGTAAATTTACTTTATGAATAAATATGCTACAATATTGACTCTCTGCAACATCCCCCCCCTCCCCCCCTCCATGTTCTCCACTGTTATACATGACTGTTGTGTCATTCAAAGCATTGGAGTAGATTTAACAACTACACTGAAATCCCCTGCTGTTTTCGACACTCATTAACGCTGCAGAAAAGCGGCAAGCAAAGCACGGTTCGATTTGTTTCTGCTTGACTGTCTGTATTTTGTCAGTCGTCTCGCTGTAAGCAAGGCGTTTTTTTGTTGTTTTTTTTTTTTTTTTTCCTGTTTTCATCAACAAGAATACTGCCTCGGCTCACACAGAAAGGCAGACGTGGAAGACAAAGACGGCAAAAAGCTGCGGCATATTATGTACAGGATGCAACGTACGTTGCTCTTTTAGCTTAACCCAGAGCCAGAGAGTTATAGCAGTGACTGTTGTTATAGCAACTCAGGCATGTTTGTAGCAAAGCAGACGACGTCATGTAATTTGTGAGACATTCATTAGGGTTAAAAGTTGGTATTCTTTCAGAAAAGGACAATAATTGCAGGATCTGTGCAAACCTTGCTCCAGGAGGAAGTTCGGAGGGTTCACACAAAGGAGCAGCTCGGCAGAAATGACTCCGCACTTCACAGAAAATGACCAGGCAGTGGTTCCTTTTCCTCAATCAACTTCACATAAATTGGTTATTGACTGCCCAACACATCCTATGAACTATCCGGGAGCATGGCGTTATGGGTTTAAGATAGACTGTGAAAGGGCAATTTGACAACGCTCTATTCCTCCTCTCTCCCTGCCTCACACCGTCTCTCCTTTCTCCCATGCTGCCGTTACAATGAGTCTCCCTCAGGATACAGCCCAGTAATGTGGCCCACATTTCACTACATTATGGTTCAGTTAAAGGACCCAGCTGCCTCGACGTTTGTCTAAGCATTTTAAGACACGCCGTAACAAGAGCGTGACACCAAACCTTCCTTTTTGGATGGATTATTTGATGTTTAAATAAAAACAAATAGGTAGTCAGAGATTGATAGGCTACATCTGTGGATAATACAATCTGCACATTACAGCAATACTCCTCTGGCATTGACCTGTATGTCTGCTGCCAATCAGACAGTTGCTGCTCAGCAGAACATCTTCAGGAGACGACTCTGCTTTTATTTACTTATCACATGAATTTATTAATCACGCAATTGTTAGTCAACAATGATGGTATGTCCATAAAGGGTCTCTGTCTCCCCCTAGTGTAAAGCCCACTCTGTCATCAAATTACATGCAATCAAAGTCAAGGTGTGATTCCTGTTTCTGTCAAACATGACACACAAGTCTCACACCACCAAGTGCATGCAGAGCCTTGTAAAAGCATCGAAACACCTGCAACATTTCTTACTGTTTGTCTCGTCTCCCAAACTTTGTTGTGTTTTATTTGGGTGGACAAACAATGAGCAGAATGGAAGTGGAAAGAACATCCTACGTAGATTTATACATACAATCTGAAAGGTGGGCTGTCGGCATGTATTAAATCTCATCTACGCTGATGCTCCTTGATAAAGCCCAGCACAACCGTCAGAAGACAATCTGTAAACGGTTAACTTCACAGAGTGCTGATCGTCCATCGTCAAAGTGGAAAGTCATTTCTGTCCATCCAACCTGGGACGGAGGCAATGAGAGCATTACTCAGAGAAGCAGTGAAGATCTCCACAGTAGCACTGGAGGAGCTGCAGAGATCCACAACCCAGGTGGAAGGATCTGTCAAGACACAATAAGATCTGCTCCCCCTACTGATCTTCAGACGATACAACAGCACAAACGCAAGTAAATTACAAATAAAATA